ATTCGAACCCGCCACCTTAGGTGTATGTGGCTGGTGCCCTAGCCACTCGAGCCACAGGCACTGAGCCAAGAAAAGTGGTTTTTATATTAAAAAGTTTTGAGCCATTTAAAAATTGTAGGGATATACATACAAAGTAAACACTTTCAATAAAGATTCTGAATTCTTACACCTGTAAGCCCAACACTCTAGGAGGCTCAGCTGGGTGGACTGCCTAAGCTCAGGAGTTCGAGACCAGCCTGAACAAGAGCGAGACCCTACCTCTACAAAAACAGAAAAAGTAGCCAGGCATTGTGGTGGGTAGCCACTCAGGAGGCTGAGGCAAGAGGATCACATGAGCTCAACAGTTATGAGCCATGACACCACAGCACTCTACCCAGTGGGATAGAGTGAGACTCTGTATCAAAAAAAAAAAAAAAGAAAAAGAATCTGAATTTAACTCAAATACAATATCCTCCCTAGGAATAAAGGCAAATTAAAGTTTTTTAAAGGCATTTATTACAGTAATGCTTATATATATCCTAGCATAATAAATATTAGGAGAGCATATTGTTCTCGTAACATAAAGTTCTCCTAACAACACTAAGATAAATACAGTAGCTACTATAACATAAAAGACACGCATATTTACAAAGATCAAAAGGGAGTGAGGAACGACAAACAATTATAATCCTGTTTTCTAGCATGTTTATCATCAACATAATATCAGGAGAATACAGACCTTCCCCTGCATTTTGTCTTACCATAGAAATAAGGAATTCCTATCCACACTCCATACCCACATTCAATTTCCTCACTTAGTATTCCACATCTTTATCATTCAAAGACATACTATCCTTTTCTCTCTTCAAACAACCAGGATAACCTCATGGCAAAGGTTTTGCTGCAGTAGTTAATCAACAGTGAGCCCCACAAACATAATTATGAAAAAAATAAATCTTTTTATACAATATATGAGGAAAATATACTATCTTTGGTAAAAAAAAATCAAAAGAAGCTTAGCAACACATGACCTTCACGGAAGAGTTACTCATTAGGACCATTTTCTGGATGCTTTAAGTCCTAAACCAAAATCGATGTCCTTAGAAGAATCTTTTCCTGGTTGAAACATCTCACACGCCTTGTGTTTTAGTTTTAGCCCTCCACTTGTCTGCTTCGGGAGACGACAACAGAAAACTAAAGCTCGACCCCTATCAGCAACTCTTTATCTTGCCTGGCATACACCATTTACATGAAGCACACTGAGATATATTTTGTTTTTAAAATTGAGAATGTGGGGATCTCGGGAACTCCGGGGTGACAGGTTTGCTAAGTGCTCAGTCCTGCCGTGGCCCCTCATCACAGTGCCTCAGCTACCTCAGAAGGAAGACGGGCTGTGTCCCTCTCTCTCCACCAACCCGGCCACCTCCTTGCTGGCTGGCGTCCCGGGAGACCTTTTCTACTGTTACAGAAGAAGCACGACACAGGAGCCTTCCCTCCCCAGAGTAAAATTTTGAGAATACTCTTATTTTGAGACTTAGAAACACGCTCTCTGCAAGGATAAAATACTCAATCAGATGGGGACAGTGCACTTTATGGCAGTAGGCTCTGGCCATGAGCATTCTACAGAATCATCCCCGAGAAAAAGAATTTACTCCAATAATTAGAGGTGGAGAAAAAAACAGCATTTGGACTCCACTCCTATTCGTACAAAGATGTTTTCCTGTGTAAACTTGGCCAAGTTTTCACTTTCTCCCATTCTAGTCTCTTCTCATAGTGTGGCTACATTCTAATCAGTAGGTTCTTCAAATGATTGTCTGGGCAGAGTTGAGTATATTAAAATAAAGGAGGCATGCACGTGAGTGTCAAATGCTCGTCTATTAATAGTGTCGAGCTGCCACTAGAGTGTATTCACTGCTACTTAAACAAAACGCTTCCGGTGGACAAGAGCAATCTTGCCCTCGGTGTGGAACAGAATAAGACAGTGCAATGAGCCCTGGGGTAAGATGAGTCAGGGCAGCCACTTCTGGAAGGTGGTCTGTTTCCTGTAAAGATCCTCAGGACTAAAGTTGATGTTAGAAAACTATCACATACTCAAATCAAGGAAACAATGCAGGTGCCAGAAGTTACCGATGCAGAAGGGGGAGAAATGAAGGCACACAAACGACAGGCCCCGCTGCTCCTGGAACACACCCTGTTACAGCAGGGCAGCTGGACTGCAGGGTCAGGCCACAGGGCACAGCCACGCTCTTCACTCACAGCACAAGTCAGGAGGCCAGCCCCACGGGAGCCGCTGGGGACTGCTCCAGGGCTGTCTACACTGTGCACTCAAGCACCCCTCAGTCCAGAGGGGAGCGCTCTCTGACCTCGCTTGACCCCAGGCTCTAGCCTGAATGAAAAATGTAAAAAACAAGATGGAAACTAAATGAGGACTCAGACTCCAGTGAGAGGAAACAAAGGAGGCGTCCTAAGGCAACAGCTGTAAGGGCAAGGTGGCTGCTGGCTGTGTCACCAGTGTGGCAGGTAGGCCAAAGCTCTGCTCCAGAGTTACAGGAGGAAACTACTCCAACCACTACCTTTACTGAAAGATGAAAGCTGCTGAATTATGAAATCCTTTCTCTTAGGCTTGTATCTATCTATCTAGATTTATGTATTTTGTAGAGATGGGGTCTTGCTATGTTGTTCAGGCTGGTTTCGAACTCCTGGGCTCGAGAGATCTTCCCTCCTTGACCTCCCGAAGTGCTGGGATTACAGGTGTGAGCCGCGGTGCTCGGCTAAGACTGATACATTCCAGTCTGCACATTTTCCTTTCTGTTTCTGATTAACTTAAAGCGCTGAATTCACTCTTGATTAATTTACTTTCTCAAATTGGTCCATCAAATAATGTGTCTCTTTGCCCACCACTTTCTGGGCCTTTTTGCTTTTTTCTGGACAGTGCTAGCAATCCTATCAGCACATTTCCTATCTAACTCCACTACCATTCTCCTCCGCTGAGTTATCACCAGAACAGAGATTTCAGAGACGCTACTCTGTGACTGAGGAATGGCAGGTGTGGCTTTCTTCAGATATCACAGTCCTTTCTGAGAGTATTTTTTTTTTTTTTTGAGACAGGGTCTTGCTCTGTCGCCCCTGGTAGAGTATAGGGGCATCACCATAGCTCACAGCAACGTCAAACTCCCAGGCTCAAGCGATCCTCTCACGTCAGCCTCCCAAACACCTGAGACTACAGGCACCTACTATTATGCCAGCTAGTTTTTCTATCTTTAATAGAGACCGTGTCTTGCTCTTGCTCAGGCTGGTCTTGAACTCCTGACCTCAAGCGATCATCTCACCTCAGCCTCCCAGAGTGCTGGGATTCAGGCGTGAGCCACTGCGCCTGCCCTCAGAGGTTTGATCCTCCTAGCTGAAATCAACAGTTAGCTTCTCTCTGAAACTCTTCTTGAAACATAGTCTTCAGCTTTGTTATGTCATTAAGCTGATGAGTAGGACTGAAACTTAAGAGCCACAGAAGTGCTCCTTTAGGAAATTAGTTATCACAGACCTAAATGCCTACCTTTAAAACAAGCAGGAAAATCTCTATGCATTCAAAATATTCTCCTACTCACATTATAGGAGGAAAACGACAGGGAGGGATGTGTGCAAGGACTTTCATCACTATACTTTGAATCCGCCTTTTTAAATCAGACAATAACAGAAACAACAATCTGGCTGAAGCAGACACACAGCAAGTGACAATGTTTATAGGGTAGGAAGCTGCCTTCACAAGGAGTAAGAGACCTTACTCGGCAGAGACTGAGCAAAACAAAACACAAAACCAAAACCTTTCAAACTGTGCCAAAGAATCTTCGTGAAAGTACCAACTCTCACCAAAGTATACACCACATGTACCACCTAAGCAAAAACAGACTTTATTTTGAATAAATGCCAGGTCAAATGTACCACCTACTTCATCAGATAAATCCCTTCATTTTACTTTTCTCATTGTTTCTCTAACTTGCTTCCAGAAGATCGGAAGCAGTGCGTGTCAGCAGTGCACTCAGACTCCACTGGGGGCAGAAGTCTGCCTGCCCTGAGAGAGGACCAGCTGCATACACCCCTGAGACCAACAGTTCCTGTGTGCCTTGCCGAGCGTCACCTCCGAGATACCGCGGGAGCCCATGAGGTCTCATCTCAGAAAAAGCAGTGACTGGCATTTTGTGGTCATCACCCCCGGCCTTGGGACTTCAGGACAGACAACCAGGGCATGTGGGAACACAGTTCACGGAGTATCTGCAGTCACTGTTTTACTATGGACACTGTATAAGTGACAGCAAAGTGACTCCACTATTTTAAGAAAAAACAATGAGGCTGCAGACACCAGAGCTTCAAGTCTTCAGGAAAAGAGTAGTAAGAGGCCTTAGTGGTAAGGCCTATACATACATATGTACGTATATGTGTGTGTATTTTGGTAGAGACAGAGTTTTACTCTATCACCCTCGGTAGAGTGCCATGGCATCACTAGCTCATAGCAACCTCCAACTCCTGAGTTTAGGCGATTCTCTTGCCTCAGTCTCCCGAGTAGCTGGGATGACAGGTGCTTGCCACAATGCGCAGCTACTTTTTGTTGCAGTTTGGTTGGGGCTGGGTTTGAACCTGCCACCCTTGGTATATGGGGCTGGCATCCTACCCACTGAGCCACAGGCGCTGCCTGTGGTAAGGCATATTTTATTATTTCAAAGACCCAGCAGGACTTCCGCTGCTGGTCAAGACAGAGTGAGGAGGGGGGGAATCAACCTTCTGCCAGAAGGGAACAGAAAGCCAAGTGACATATACGAAGCACCACTTTAAAAGAAATGGGCACAGGCTGTAAGGGACTACGTCTAAGTGGTGGGAGCACAGACACCCTAACTGCCCAGGCTTCCTACACAGGGCTTCTGGGCTTTCAGGCAGCCCCTACGTGACTGTGTAGGATGAGGGCCTGGAACAGAGCAATAGGGCCACACAGGACCCTGGACACGTACCATGAGGAGACCCCAAGGGACGCCATGAGCATTGGAAGAGTGCAACCTGCATTCTCCTGTGTGAGGAACCCCCAAACCAGAGAAAGAACTGGCCAGAACAAGAAGACCTCAGGGCAGGGCATTCAGGCAAGCCTCACCTCCAAGTTGGGGACACCGCCTTGGACACGACAGTACTCTAGCCCTGCTTGACAAATCTTAGAAAAAGAGATCTACCTGTTTTCCAAATAATTTAACTGCGCCAAGAACAAAGGCCAAGAATATTTATAGGAATACAAAAATATCCAACACACAAGTTAAAAAATCACAACACTGGACATCTGATCAAAGATTATCAGACATGCATAGGAGTATGAAAATAAAATTTGTTAATGAAGAGAAAAATCAATCAGTCAAAACCAGCCCAGAACTGACTGAGAGGACAGAATTAGCAGATAAGTTTAATAAAATACTTACTATCACTGCTTCCAATTTGAAAAGTAGAAACACAGAAGACATGAAACAGATTTAAACTAAACAGCCAGGGAGGAAAATAATGTGTGAGATGAAAACTACACCAGATGGAAAATTAACAGAAGATTAGACATTGCAGATAGTGGACTGGAAAATACAAGGCCACCCAAACAGCTCTGCATCTACTCAAGAAAGTTCAGTTTAAAACCTCTCCACAGTGGCTCCATCAGGGAATTCTCTCAAATATCTAAGGAAAAAATAATATCAATTCTATAAAAATTGTTCTAGAAAATGAAAAAGAGGAAATTTATAAGGCCAGCATTCCTTTGATACCAAAACTGACAAAAATACAAGAGACAACACCTGTACCCCTGAGGTCACAGAAGCAACATTTAAACAAAATGTTTCCAAAATGAATCCAATATGCAAAAACAGATAACACATCATGACTGTGTAGGGTCTATCCCAGGAATGGAAGATTTAATAGTTTAATAGTTGCAAAATCCATCAGTTAAACTAAGAAACAAAACTCATTTGATCATCTCAATAGATGCAGAAAAAGCATTTGACAAAATTCAATGTTTACTTCTCATAAAACTCACAGGAAACTAGGAACAGAAGGCAACATTTTCAAGCAGATAACTGGTATTCATGGAAAACCCATAACTAACACAGTACTCAAAGGTCAAAGAGTGCGATTTCCCCCAACGTCAGAACAAGACCAGGATGCCCACTCTTCCCACTGCCATTAACAAGTGTACCACAGATTCCAGACAACATAGTAAAGCAGAACAGAAAGGAAGTAGTAAAACTATCTCTGTTCAAAGAAGACATGACTGTCTAGGTAGAACATCTCATAGAATCTACACAAAATCCACCAGAAATAAGTGAGGTTAGCAAGACAGAAGGATACAAGATAAATATATGGAAATCAATTGTATTTACATATAATAGCAAGAATCAAAAATGAGAAGTTAAAATGCCATTTGTAATGCCATAAAAACATGAAATGCTTAGGAATAAATTTAATAAGAAATGTGTAAAACTTAATGTACAGAAATTAGAAAACAGAAATTTAAAAGACTAAATGGTGAGCTGCTGTTATCGATACACTCAATATTGTAAAGACATCAATTATCCTATTTTAGGCACTGATCAGAGCAGTGTTTTTCAACCTTTCTATCTCATGGCACACTCAGATTACATTGATCAAAAAAAAAGAACATACTTACTGTGCTTTGAACTTCTTTCAAAAATACTGATCTTTAAAATTTTTCTTGGCACACCTAATATCCTCTCATTGACCTAGAGTCTATATAATCTCAACCAAAACCCTAGTATACTTTATGGTAGTAACTGAAAAACACATTCTAAAACTTGTATGGAAATACAAAGGACAAAGAATAGCCAAAACAACTTTGAAAGGGACAGAGATAGAAGGCCATCCCTATTTCAGAACTAGTTCCACCCACTCCTATGTGGACAGCTGATTTTTTGACAAGGGAGCAAAGGCAATTCTGTAGGGGAAGGAACAGTCTACAACAAATGGCACTGGAACAACTGCACATTTACAAGGAAAACACTGAATTTTGATTTATACCTCACAATATACACAAAAATTAACTCGACATAGGTCATAAACCTAAATGGAAAACCTAAGACTCTAAAATGTCTAGAAGAAAATACCAAATAATTAATTATCTTCGCCTATCTTTTATTAGGCAAAGATTTCTTAGACATGAAAAGCACAATTAAAGAAGAAATTGATACATTTGGCTTCACAATTTAAAACTACCGTTCTTCCAAGGACTTGGTTAAGAGAATCAGAAGACAAACTGCAGACTGGAAGAATGTGTTTACAAGGCCACTATGTGGTGTGACTTGTATTCTCCAGAATATGTAATAAACTCCAACACTCAAAAATAACAACCCAATAAAAAACTAGCAGAAGATGTGAATAGACCATTAAAGAGGACACACAGAATGGCAAATGAACACATGAAAAGATGCTTAATACCATCAACCAGGAAATGCAATTAAAACCACAATGAAATTCCACCATGCACCTATGAGAATAGCTAAAATTAAAAAGCATACAACTGGAACTCTCATGCACTGCTGGATGAGATGCAAAATGGTGCAGGCTCTTTGATACACAAGAAATTTCTTACAGAGGTAAACCTAGCACTTTCCATAAGCCCCTAACGTACATGTTACCCTGAGAGGAAACAGAATATATGTTCACCCCAAGAATACTAATGTTGGGTGATGCCTGTGGCTCAAGGATTAGGGCGCCGGCCCCATATACCAGAGGTGGTGGGTTCAAACCCGGCCCTGGCCAAAAAACTGCAAAAAAAAAAAAAAAATGCTATTGTTCATAGCAGCTGTACTTCTGAAAACTAAAACCTGGATACCCATTAACTGTGACTAGATAAGCCAACTGTGGCATCCCCACACTGCTTGGTAACAAAAAGAAGTTGCTGGCCAGGCGAGGTGGCTCAGGCCTATAATCCCAGCACTCTGGGAGGGTAATGCCAGTGAACTGCCTGAGCTCAGGAGTTCAAGACCAGCCCGAGCAAGTGCAAGGCCCTATTTCTAAAAAAAATAACTGGGCATTGTAGCAGGCACATGTAGTCCCAGCTACCAGGGAGGCTGAGGCAAGAGGATCACTTTGAGCTCAAGAATCTGAGGTTTCTGTGAGCTGTGATGCCACAGCACTCTACAAGGGTAACAAAGTGAGAATCTGTCTCAAAAAAAAAAAAAAGTTATCACATGGAATCTGAAAACACTATCCTAAGTGAAAGAAAGCAGATATAAAAGGTTGTAAAATGCCAATTAGATGGAGTCTAGAAATGGCAAAAAAGAACCAATGACAGAAAGCAAATCAGGGATTGCTAAGGGTAGGTGTCAGGGGCGGGAACTGACCACAAAGGGGTCTTGGGAACTTTCTATGGTAATGGAAATATTTTACATTCTGACAGTGCTGCTGGTCACACACCTGTATACATCTGTTAAACTTATAAGGTGTACATTTTATGTATATTATATCTCATTAAAACTAAATTAAAAAGTCAACTCACACACTTAAATTAACACAAAGAAGGTATGCACGCACACTAACCAACCTGTCAACAGTAGAACAGTAGTTTTCTCTGGGCAATGAAAATACAGGTGATTTAAATTTCCATTATTGTACTTTTTGTATTTTTAAAAACCTCAAGCCTTCCGAGGTGGGTGCGGGGTACCTGGTACCTTAGGTTAATACCCAAAAGAGTCTACAACAAACGGCACTGGAACTGCACGTTTTTAAGGAAAACATTGAGTTTTGATTTATACCTCACAACACACACAAAAATTCACTCCACAAAGATCCTAGATCTAAACGTAAAACCTGAATGTAACACGCAGATAACAAACCATACCGCCAGGTGAAAGAGTGAGAGTTTTGTAAATGGAATTGTAATAATTTGCTGCATACTTGGAAAATATTCGTCACGTGGCTCTCAGAAACACACCTCCTTCCCTTCCATAATGGGATAACTTCAAATACCTGTCTAAGCCGCTCAGGCCCGAACGCCAGACAAACATTCCGCCGGGCCGCGAGCACCCCTGACCCGTGCTCACCTGGTACAGCTCCTCCAGGTTGCACCGGACCGACGTGCTGCTCTGGACGGCCCGCACGGCCTCGCGGAGCTTCTGCCACGTGTCCTGCGTGTAGTTGTCGGGCAGCCGGGGTCTGTCTGCGGGTCCAGAACCAGAGCCGCGCGCTCGGAAAGCGCCCGAGGCGCCCGCGGCCCAGGGCGGCCTCTCGGGCCCAGCGCGCCACGGCCTCGGACGCGGAGGTTCTCCGCGCCCGGGTCCCCGGCCCGGCAGGCCCCCGCCCGGGGAGCCCTCCCGCAGGTCCCGCCGACCACGCGCCGGCCCAGCGCCCCGCACCCACCTCGGAAGTTCTTGATGACCAGCTTCTTGGAGCCGCCCGCGCCCCCCGGCTTGGCGGGGCCGGAGGCCAGCGCCGCGGGCTTGGTGAGGCCGTTGGTGCGGCCCACGAGCGCCGAGAAGCTGCCTTTCCGCGGGGCCTCGTCCGCCATGGCTGGGCCGGAACCGCCGCGCCCGCCCGCCCCGCTCCGCCCGCTCGCCCCGGCCCGTCTCCGCCCGGCCGGCCCACCCAGTCCGCCGCGGTCCGCCCGCTCCGCCCCGTCCGCCCCGGTGCCCGCCCCGCGCGCCCGCGGCCTGGAGGCCCAACCGCCTCCGGAGGGCTCGGGGGCGCGCAGGGACGCCCCCCCGCCCCCACCGAGCTCGGGGACGCGCCGCGACCCCACCCCCCTCGAGCTCGGGGACGCGCCGCGACCCTCAACCCCCATCTGAGCTCGGCGGCGCGCCGGGACTCCCAGCCCCCTCCCCGAGCTCGGGAGCGAGCCGGGACCCCCACCCACCTCCCCGAGCTCGGGAGCGAGCCAGGACACCCTGCCCCGAGCTCGGGTGCAAGCTGGGTCTCTGGACCCCCCACCCCCACCCCAGAGCTCCGGAGAGCGCCAGATACCCCGTTAGGGCTGCGGGTGCGCTGCGACGCCCCCCTTTAGAGGCTCGGGGGCGCGCCAGGACAATCTCCCATCCTTAAGGAGCTCGGAGCTGCCCCGGGAAGCCCCCCTTAGGTGTTGGAAATGTGCCAGGGTACCCCCAAACTAGGGCTCGGGGCTCCCAGACAACTCCCCCACTTGGGGGTGTGCCGCGACCGCCTGTCCATTAGGGGAGCGGGGGCGCGCCGGGACAATCTTCCCCAATTATGGATCTGAGGTGTGCCGGACTACCCCAAGTTAGGGAGCCCCGCCGCACCTAAGGGCGCGAGGACGAGCCGAGACACCCCCACCTTAAGGTTCGGGGTCGCGCCTGGAGGTCCCCTTTAGGGCTTGGGGGCGCGCGGAGCATCCTGAGGGGCTCGTTTTCTCACAGGCGACAGTCGTGGGGTCAGCGGAGTGAAAGGCAGCTGCTCCGTGTGGCTACCCTCGCCGCTGAACCCCAAACCCCTCAGCCCTGGCGAGCCCAAACGCGAGAAGACCTGCAGGCAGCGGGCCGAGAGGGCGGGGACCCAGTGCTAACACCCCCGGCCTCAGCCCGAGCGCGTCGCCGAGCCGGCCCCGGGGTTGCGCTGCCGCGCGCTCTCGCCCGCTGGAACCAAAGTGCAGGGGAAGATGGGGCCGGGGGCGCCGGGCTGGAGACGGACCCCTGGCCGGAAGTGACGAAAGCGACGGGAACCGCTTGCTGGTGGGCGGGGCTCACCGCCATGGCGCACATCACGATCAATCAGTACCTGCAGCAGGTACGTGTCGGTTGGGGAAGCGCAATGCGGTGAGTGTTGGTCCCGCCTCTGGCCTCCGACCCTTAGGCCTCTTCCCCGCCGCCTCGCTCGCTGCCTTTTCCTGCCCGGGTCTCCGATGGGCGGCGACGGCGGGCAGACGTGAGAGCGGCAGGCCGGGCCGGAGGCGCTGCCGCGGGTCCCTTCTGCTGGACCGCCGTGCTGGGGGGGCGGTGTGGGCTGCGTCTCGGAGCTCGTGTCCGCAGGATGGGGAGCGCTCGCGATTTACGCAGACACACGTGTAGTCTCTCCTGCGGTCGCTGCCCAGTGGGTCTGAAGGGTCAGGACTCCACGCCGACGGCTTAATTGGTTCCGTTGTTTCGGTTGGACACCGGTGGAAGGAAGGGGGATGACTTTGAGGAGGCTCTGGCGTAGGAGATGGAGATGACGCTACTGCAGTCCGAGTTCAGGCCACTAGTCCTTTAGTACGCTTCTCTGTTGTAAGCACATTGCGCATGTTACGTTTTTTGGTAAATGTACCTTACGCGGTTTTGTTCATACAGCCTGTAAATGGCAGAAGCACATTTGAAACACAGATATTTCTGTATTCAAAGCTCGCAGTTTTTCCACTAAATGATGCTGATCTATAGTCTGGGCGCGGTGGCTCACACCTGTAACCCTAGCACTCTGGGAGGCCGAGGTGGGTGGATTGCTTGAGCTCACAGATTGAAGACCAGCCTGAGCCCAGAGCCCACCTCAATAACCTGGTGTTGTGGCGGGCGCCTGTAGTCGCAGCCACTGGGGTGGCTGAGGCAAGGGAGTCACTGGAGCCCAAGAGTTTGAGGTTGCCGTGAGCTATGATGCCAGGACACTCTACCCCAGGGTGACAAAGTGAGACTGTCTAAAATAAATAAATACAAAATCCTCAGAATAAGGCTGTGGTAATAAGAAGAGGAAAAATAGAGAATAGGTTTTAAAAATATTTGAAGGAAACTTTACTAGGACTTGCTGATTAAGAATATGTGGGTGGGCCAGGCACAGTGTCTTCAACCTGTAATCCTAGCACTCTCCTAGGCTGAGGGGAGTGGATTGCCTGGAGACCAGCTGAGTGAGACCCCGTCTCTACTAAAAAAAAAAAAAAAAAAAAATTAACCAGGCATTGTGGTGGCGCCTATAGTCCCAGCTACTGGGGTGGCTGAAGCAAGAGAGTCACTGGAAGCCTGAGTTTGAGGTGGCTGTGAGCTATGAGGCCATGTTCCTCTGTTGAGGGCAACAGAGTGAGACTCTGTCTCCAAAAAATGGGTGGCGGGACATGGCAGAGTACTAGTATAATGAACATGGAGAGGAAAATAAACTTAGTTCTGGACATAGGGAGTTGAGGTGTGTGGTGACTGTTGACAACCAGTTAAAGATCTCCAGTTGACAGTTGAATGTAGTCTGACGTGATTGGGAGCAATAGTTGCTGAGTTAATTCGTTACACCCAGGAGTCTCTCAAAGACCATACTGCCAGTCAAGTCAAATTTAAAGAGGAGTCCTTTTATTGAAGAGCCACCTGGCGACTCCCTCAGTGTCCCAACATGTGGTTTCTGAGAGCAGCCCCTAGAGTTTAAGGGGTCGGATTTTTAAGGCTTGGTCTGCATCCTGGTCCGCACGCAGGCTGCCCTGGTGCATCCGGGTAGGGTAACAAGCACGGTGCAGAAGCAGAGTTTTGCAGTTAGTCATACATCTGTGTTTCAGTACTTTCCCACCTGGTATTTCTTAAAGGTCAGTCCAGGGACGGTTGTTACCTCCTAGTCCAGGCGTCCTCAAACTACGGCCCACGGGCCACATGCGGCCTGCCAAGGACATTTATCCAGCCCGCCGGGTGTTTTTGCTGCCACTGTCTGTCCTGCTTAGCAGCCATCTCGTCCTGGGTCCCGCAGTCTGGCCTTCCAGTGGTCTGAGTGACAGTGAACTGGCCCCCTGTTTGAAAAGTTTGAGGACTCCTGTCCTAGTCCATTTCTCAGGGAAGTAAGAAGTCAGTGAGTACTTTCCAATCTATCTTGGGAGTGAATCAGACTTCATTTTGTTGAGGGCTTGTGGCCCAGAAATTTACCAGGAGTTAACTTGTATTTTTCTACCTTAGTCTAGGCCTAATAAATTGAGACGGTTGGTTAACACCAGGATCATGAAAAAAGTTTTATTTCAATTAAAAACATGCAAGTTTACATTCATTTGCCAATCTTTGATGTAGGCCCAAGACCTTTTCTTTAGGATATGTCTACTTTCCCCTTGTGTTTGTGGAGCTAACATTTTCCAATATTGGTTTATTTGAGAACTTGAATGTAGTCTCTCTCTAGAACTTTGTGTTTTTCTTAATCTTTAACTATTTTACCCCACACCCAGTTTTATTTAAAAAAACAAACCCTCATCTTCAATGAGTCTTTTAAATGCATGCAATTTAGCTAATAGAGAAACAACTGCTCCCTTTTGTATTCATATCTCACTTGTGACCTTAAAAGTACATTATCCGTAGCTTGTATAGGTAGCAAAATTAAATTTGAGGAGGAACGCATATACCTTAGGTGGCAAAGGTTTGAGGATGTATTGTGCCTCTGGCATCAGCCTGTGTATTTTACGGAAGATTTGGAGAGAGTCATCATTCCAATTTAAGTCAGGTAAAGGTAAGACTGGTAAGAGAGCTTCTACTGTTAAGTGGATTGGAGTTGAACAGACAAGTTTGGGTTTACAAATGTGGGGCTCCTTGATGTACAGCTGATGACAAGGACAGTGAGAAGGGAATGGATTACCCGTGGAAAAGTGGAACGTGAATAGGGAATGGGCCCAGAATAGATATCTTTGAAGATATGTGTGCCTGAATCTCTTCACAAAAGACAAGAGTACCTCTTAATGTGAGACTTCAAAAAGTCCCTTCTATCATTTTGATGGAGAAAAGTATTCCTGGTTGAATTGGCCTACTACTTAAATTGTATATGTTAATAGATTCTTGAATATTAAAAAAAAATAGATGTCTCTTTGACAGAGGATGGCAACCTGTTAGACCTATACATAGTAATACAATGTGTATAATTTATTGTGTAGGAGCATAGGTACCAATGTAACTGTATCAAATGTAACACACCATTTGCCAGTCATCAAAGCCAGGAGGCAGGGCAAATCGTTGACTCCTCTCTCCTTCAGTGTCTGCAGATAGTGCTTTACTGGAGTAGTTATATCTCCTACTGTCTCAGATCCACCTCTTCATTATCTATTACTTAGATTATGGCAGTCACTTTTTATTTCATTTCTGATTCTTATCTGTTTTCTTTTATATTGTACTTTCTACTAGAGCAAAGGGAGGATAGGCTTTAAAGACAATAATACTTTAATAATACATGTTTTTACTAATATTGGGACTTCGGACATGTCTAACCGCTGTGACTCTCCATCTGTAAGTAGGATCCATACGAGTTGTGCCAATTAAAAAGGCCCTAAATGCACAGTTAATGCATTAACTCAGTAAATGATAATTGTGCTATTTTATTGAAGAAAATGGTTTGAGCATCTGCCTCTCCTACTAAAACTTCTCCTGCAGGGACACCTCCAAACACTCCTTAACTTAGTGCCCCCATTCTGATGCTCCACATTTGCTCGATGTGCCATGGCAGCTCTCCCATCTATAAAATGCACATAACTTAAAATGTACCATTTAGCTATTTTAAAGTATACAGTTAAGTACATTGACAATATTGTACAAGCATTGCTGTTCTCAAGTTCCAGAAATTTTTTTGTCACCCCTAGAGGAAACCCTGTGCCCTGGGAGGTTGCTGGTGAGGAGCTTCCTGGGGTATGAGCTCCGACCGGTGAACATACTAGCAGGGCCCACACTGCTCACTGCTGGGTCTGGAGATCTGACTCTAGGCCTTGATCCCTTGGTGACTGCTGTGT